GCGATTGGTTACGCGTCGTCATTCTAAACAATGGCACTTTTGGCACATCAGCACATCTTCACATAATTATTGGCCAATTACGACATAGCGGTTTGTCAGAAGTTTCGTTATCTGCCAAATACATTTGGTCAGTCTCCCATGATTGCACATCCTCATCAAGGAATCTTCTTTTTTGATACACGTTTTATGCTGATTTCGAGGATAACGCTCGCTTTAGTACGGACGCCAGAGCCTAATTTGCCTTGTCTTCTCATAGGCTGTCTGTCCCCATTTTGCTTTGTTTCACATTCCAGTAGAATCTCGGTAGCCTAAGCTAACGGATGATGCTTTCCTCTCGGCCTGTTTCGAGTTTGCCGCAACACTGGACTGTTTATTGCTTCTGAAGCTCATAACGGTACGCATTAACGACATTGGTCTTGTCAGCTTCTTTAACATAAGATGGCCTTAGGCCTGAGGGATTGTTAAGTTATTACGGATTGTTAATTAGACCCTGGACAGAAGCGGTCAACAGGTGATACAGTGATTTCAACAACAGAATTACGGTAAAAGTGCTATATGCAAGCATAGAAAAATTTTTAAATGGGAATTGGTAAAGAGATGAATCGCAGAAGTACAAGGACAAAAAGAAAACGATATGGGTGAAAGTGTTAAAGAAAAAACACCGGAAATTAAAAAAACAATTAACACAATTTTATACTGCTTCCAAACTGCTCTTTAGATTTGGGTGGATCTCAGGGGTGTCTAAACGGCCATCTTAGTACATTAATCTATCACTTTTCCTTTTATTAGCATTTAGTAGATTTTTATTCGTTTTTGGTAGTTTCGCCACTGCATCAGGAAGTCCCAGTGATTCCGGTTCTTCGCCAATCGGGCCCATGTTTCGTCGTATTTATATTTTATGTAAAGACGGAGTATTTTGTGGTTGTGATAGTACGAAACGCTGCTTAGTTACACACAGCACAAACAATTTGGTCAATTGGATGATTGATCAGTACTAAAGTTTCGATCCGTGTATAACCCGTTTTCTTCATGGTAGATAGTTCGGTTAGTTCGGTCGTCCTTCTTGCGCACTGCAATGAACAACGAAACGACTTTAGAAGCTAACTCAGCTCTTTACGTTGTAGAAGCCTCGCGAGACTCTGGCCGAAACGTCGGTATTATTCAGTCATTTGATTTTCAGTATATTTTTCCGTTCTGCGCGAAAGTAGCTCCAGTTACAGGGGGAGGAACTGAAATACGGCATAGCGACAGAATAGTGCTGAGAGATGTGGAACTGAAGGCGATTAAGATTTACAGCGGTTATTTATTGGACATCACATTTCTATGCGCTAGTTTTTGCCAAGATTCAGGCATCCTACTTCTGCCATCTAATTGCAGATTCGATTGCATCATGATGGATTCAGAAATCCTCATGTGTGTTTCCAGTCTTCCCATCGTCGGCCCATTCTAACCGAACATCAGCAAAGGTTCTTCGTAGTTACGTCGAGCCGATTTGTTACGGACAGACTATGCGTTTTGACCTCTGGGGATGGTTCCAACGTTTAGATATCGTATGCCTAACAGCGAAGCATTTGGAATGTAACCTTACGGATACTGTTTCTTACGTCGCAGCGTTTCCATGGCCCGTTATGTAATTTCTTCAAGCTGGGGAGTAAGAATAAATGATGCATTGCGGCCAACAGACCGTGTGAAAATGTTCATGAAGTAAACCATGGAACTTTGTTCAGAATGGATGGCACCGCATGACGGATTTATTATAGAATCTGCAGTGTATCCGAGACCCGCTTCAGGGCGCGATTTCGACCAGGACCAAAAGTTAAAAATTGAGCATAGCATCTTTTTCGAGGTTGCCCCCCCTCTCAACTGACCAGTTGATGGCGGTGAACTTCGTTCGTCACTGAAGCGTCGACGAGAGATGTGTGTCTGTCAGTGGAGAGCGGCAAACAGCGATATCGCGCCCTTGTCGCGCGGCGCGGTTCATATATTGTCGCACCAGTCAGTCGGCCGAGGACAGAGAACCGAGAGACCGGTTGAACGAGTTTCTAGACACAAGCGTGTTTTTACGCCATCGGTGTAATTGGCCTCATAAACCAGGCAGATAATGTGGCGTGGTGCGTTTTGAATTTCGTGAAGCGGTTCGTACTGCATCGGTGTCGTTAAGACTGCGTCGCTCATAGACACGGTGTGAACGGTCGAGACAACGAGATTTTTCTCAAGCACCGACCTCGTCGGCCAGATTTCGCCTCTGAGTTCCTTGAAGCATGGAATAGGGCTTCGAAACTGCGGCTGAAACGGCTCAGTTGCGCTTCGTGTGTTCGACGACGAGCGACGGACGACCGGCAGGAGCCGGAGCCTTGCCATGAGGCGTCGTGTTCCTGCGGTTTATTCAACTTTTCAAAACATGTCTAAACAACGAAAACTCCTCGCCAGCCAATTCAGTAACCGGTGGTCAGGAATTGCTCTGCTCCAAGCTCCTTGTTTACCATGGGCGTTAATGACCTTTTTCAAGTGCTGAAGTATTCTTGCAGAAGTATTTTATTCTTCTCTAGCAGACCTCGTAAAGGCTTAGCACATCTGATCTGATCGGCCCCAACAAAAGAGTACAAATATTTTAGACCAGATTCTAGTTAGTCTGATTATGATCCACTTGTTTTGTTGGCTTTGTATTTGTTCGTTGTTATGTACAGGTTTTGGCAACTTATCTTGTGCTTTTGGACTCGTTTAAGTACATTTGATTGACAGTTGCCTCAGCCGTACCGTGATGAGTGCCCCGAGACGACTGAGTGGATGGCAAGCCGTTACAGGCCACCCAATCCTTGTGTTATTGTCCAGAGGTCTGTGTTTTGAACGATTTCTTTCAAGGAGGCCAGGGTTTAACTCACTGCACAGAATTTAAGTAGAATCCATGCAATTTTATTTTTTGCTTTTGCTCTCTGAAAGAAGATCGATTATGATCAGAAATGTTGAAGGTTCTTTACGTAAGTAACTTATTTTGTACTGCCATCCCTCGTGCTTTCTCCTCTTCCTTTCACACTTTTAAGCACTCCATCATCAGACTCAGGTTCGACCCGAGAACATCACAGTTGGCGACGCTTGACTGAGTCATCCGCCGTTCGTTCATTACTTCATGTTTGCTTCTTTTCGTACTTACGTACACACTCATACGTACACGGGCCAGGTTTTCGTTCAGCCTGTTCAAAACTCAGTCTTGTACACTCATTAGAAAGGCCACTCAATACGCTCTGCAGGAAAGTGGAGTACAACTGGAGCAGGTGGAGGTGTTCAAGTATCTTGGAATAGCATTCACGAGTGGCAGCAAGAGGGATCGATGACTGTAGACAGAGGGATGAATCTGGCGACTGCACGACCGCCGTAAGCCAAAAGCTAAGCTGGCTTGTGGTCATAAACAGAGTCGAACAACAAACAACCGAACAAGGTTAGTTCGTCTGTAGCTATATTGAGTTTCAGATATTGGCTATAAAGGGCGTGGTTCAGTATTAACAAAAATAAGATTGCTTTGAAGGATCGCTATCTGACGAATTTAGTTAAGATACACACTCGACTGACAGAGCCGCGTTGAGGGCATAAACTGGACAGGCCGACGACCGGACAGTTAGAAAAAAATGAGCACCCCCTCCCCTTTCTCCTCCCCACCCGCTTATCTTTGCACCTGAATTTTAAACCTTGGGTAAAGACAAAGATTTCCCGTCGCCGGAATTGAACTCGATACCTCCGGAGGTCGAATGCGATGCCAACCGCTTGCGCACTGCGCCGTCAAGCAAACCGCAAACCGTCAAGCGATTCGTTATTGACTTGTTATTAAAAACATGAAATGTCTTTCTGGTGGTTGCATAAAAACGAGTATGCTCGAAGGTAAGTTGCTCGCACTGAGTCAAAGGGCAGACCAATGGACATGACCCTTTGCCGTGAAATAAACCCAAAGGGTGATGGACCGAATACCGGTTGCGGGAGTGATGCACGACCGCAAAAATTTATCTATGTGGCGTTAATTGCTGCATCATGCCGTTGACGTGGTCGTGCGGATTGGATTGCACTTACTTTTCAATGCTGGGGCAGAGGAGAGGAGGCTAAAATGAAGTTCCGACACTGACAATTAATTCTTCATTCCGGCTGTAAAATACTCATAGCTTTAACCTACTTACGTTGAGTAATGTCGAATTTTTCATCATTGAGTATTAAGAATCGATCGCCCCCTTTGATAACCGCCGCCCCTTTGCCAGTTTTCCTTGGTGTTTGCGATTTAGTTGGTTTTCCGTTTTC